CAGACCGTAATTCTTGCGCAATATTACGGGCCATAATATCTTACGTAAGATTACGTTTATATAATTTGCTGATGTAGAAATTTGTAACTACACTTAACTTCTTGATTATTTAAATTCATCGTTTTAACTTTACATATATCAAATTTCTCATCTTCACTCAACTCAAAATATCCTCATACCCAACTTGACTTTATATATTGCCATTTTGAGTTCTAACAGTTTAACTGTTTAGATTTTGGTTGATTAAATTTTCTTTTTTTTATAAAAGGAGTTGTGCTACTAGAACTGATAGATATATTATCACTAGTCTCACAATTTAAAGAAGAAGTAGGTTCTTCAGAAAGTTCAAAATATGTAGATTTTTCAGAAAGTTCAAAAGATGTATGTTTTTTATAAAGATTAAGAGGTGTAGATTCTTCAGAAAGTTTATATATATAATTGTCTTTGTTATTACTCATTGTCAAAAAAAAAAAAGAAAAGCTTTAAAAAAGTAAAAAATATTTGGGCAATGATATTAAATATATATATTAGATGTTGCAGTATTTGGAAAATTGTATTAAAAAAAAGCTGAATTTCTCTTTTGAATGGATAATAAAAGTTTTTTTATAATATATGTATTGGTTTAAAGCTAGATCAACGATCAAATCTTTTTTATAGTTGGTAAAAGCTGGTATATTTTTTGGACTCAGATTACAAATTGAAGACCCGGGCCACCCGTTTTGACATGGGTGATCCAGGTTATTACAAACCGGTTCGGAACTCTAACCCCCATATTATGTTATTTCTTCAAATTGAGTTTAAAAATAGATCTGTTTCAAAATGCCAATTGCTATCAACAATATTTGTCTTTAATAAATTGCTTAATATATATTTTTGCCAGATAACTATCATGGTCTAAGCTATTTAATTTGTGATGCAAATCTGTTATTTGCTATATCAAAAGTTCTTGCTACAAAAATTTACAATTTTCTAGATTTTTGTGTGCTAATAAGAAATTGTTTGTTGTATTCAATAGCTTGATTTTGTTTTTTATTAACCTTATTATTGGTTGGTGAATCAAGTCTAAAGTATTTTGAAAAGACTGAATACTTGTAGAATATAATAAAGCTTTAAAATTAAATAAATATTGTTTAATTAGTAATCTACTAGTTAGCCAGAGAGTGATCATAATAAAATATAACTCAAATCACTTATAAAAATTAGAGGTTTCTAAATGTAGCATACATATATCTAAAACTTTTTAATAATAAATTAATCACCTTTTTAATTTAAAAGACTTTTATAAAGCTTGTCAAAACACATCTAATGGTAGCTAAAGCATCAAAATTGGCTTGCAGATGCCAAGTTATCTTTAAAAAATATTTTTTTTATTATATAAACTTCTTTGCAAACAATATTATTGTTTGTAAAGAAGTTTATATAGTAAAGGAAACATTTTTTAAAGATATCTTAGTATCTACCAGCCTGATTTTGATACTTTAGCCACTATTAGATACTTTTTGACAAGCTCTACAAAAGTCTCTTAAGTTAAAAAGATGATTAACTTAATATAAAAAAAGTTTTAGATGTATATATCCACATTTAGAGACTACCAATTTTTATAAGTAATTTGAGTTACATTTTACTATGATCACTCTCTAGTATCAATTAATAATATTAATAATCATAGTATAACTTGCTATTATTATTTAAAGTATTGAATCTACAGATATTTTGCAGAAATAGAAATAGATCTTGCAAACATTTGTTCTAATAATTCTAAAGATATAAAAAAGTTACTTTCAAATAAAGTTACTAGTATTAATTACAAATGATCAAAAAGTTCAAATCAAATTAATATAATCTAATATAATACTTTATATTATATATTTAATATACTGTATATACTGTATATGCATACTATATACTGCTACGAATAAGCATTTCTATGAATAAGCACTCTCTATAAACAAAATTTCTAATTTAGAATAAATATCTTAATTACAGTCAGACCTCTCTAAATGTATCCCCCCCTAAAATGCATAACCTCTTTAAATGCATATTAATTATCTAGCCCATCAACAGGTTTAATAGATAAATGTATATTCTTTATTCTGCATATGCATTCTATTTTTCTGGCCTACTTATATAAATCTCTTTATAAATGCATATCACATGATTATTAGCCAATCAAAACAAGATTATATAATCTCATACAAGATAATTTTAACATGTGACTTATATAGTATATAAGCAGCCGTCAATAAAAATCAAGCAAATCTATATTTAAAAAAAAATTAATACCTTAACTTTCATAGCTCATATTTTGATAAATTTTAAAGCTATCTTGATAGTTTAATATTCAAAAGAAAGCTTAAATCATAAGCTTTTTTTTTGAATATAAAACTATTAAGATAGCTTTAAACTTCATCAAGATATAAGCTATGAAAGCTAAGGTATTAAATTTTTTTAAATAAAAATTTGCTTAATTTTTATTGACAGTTACTCATATACTATAATTCTATTAGTGTTCTCTAAATACAACTCTCTCTAAATGCATACCTCAGAGCTAGTCCCAATGATATGCACTTAGAAAGATCTGACTATAATAATCCATTTGTCATCTGGAGAGAATTTGCAAAATTTTATAAATAAAGTTTACTATTAACAGAAATGTAGTGAGCCTATATCTAAAACTTTTTTCTTTACTAAGACAATCAATCTTGTCAATTAATTAAAAGTTGTAGAGCTCATCAAGACATATCTAATGATATAAGAGCATCACAGTAGTTCTTGAGATATCTTTAAAAAACATCTTGTGTATATATAAAATTTTTTAATTAATGATTCTCCAGTTAACTGAAGAATAAATATAGTAAAACATAACTCAGTTTACTATATAAATCTAATATAGGTTAAATATAAAATTGCTTCAAAGTAAACTTTTTTTTATATTAAGTTAATTAAATCATGTTAATTAATTAAAAGTTGTAAAGCTTATTTTTGTGGTTTTAATAGTAGTTAAAGTGTCAAAATTGGCCTAGTAGGTGCCAAGATATCTTTAAAAAATGTTGTTTTTTACTATATAAACTTCTTTACAAACAATAGTACTATAGCACATAATGTGGCTAAAATTATACATAGCCTTCTACTTTTTCAACTATATCTTCAACTCTCTCAACACAACTCTCAATTTCCTCAATATATTTCTTATCTTCTCCAACTCTCTCTACTTCCTCAACACGGCCTTCAACTCTCTCAACACAGCCTCCTACTCTCTCAAGTATATTCCTCAACTCCTTCAAGTACAATGTTACATTACCCTCAATTCCCTCTTCTATTCTGTAAAAGGTATATAAAGAGAGCATTAATCTCTTCTTGTAAAAATAGATTAATACAGATATCTATGGCTCTTAGATAGATCTCCATTACCTCTCTCTTATAGAATTAGTTTTGTAATTCTCTCTTGTAATGTATAACTCTCTCTAGAATCTTTAGCTGAGGTTATTCTCTTGTTCTATAATAAATAAAGGTTAAAATACACTATTCTAATACTGAACTATTTACCTTCTGCTGTGAATATTTAATTGTATTTTACATTTACTCCGTGTATATTCCAATAGCAGAATTCCTGCACTGAATGACTTTGTTAGGAGGCTTCCAGAAATTAGCTGATTTATCTTTACTAATAGGCTACCCTACCAACCCACACCTGACACCCTATTAGCCAATCAAATTTCATATTTATTTAAAATTTTTGGTAACAAAACATAGTAAAATTTTCAAATTTGGAGTTTAT